AAAAAAAAGAGATGGTAATTTGCCAATTACAGTTTTGTTCTAGTATTGGAATGAGCTTAAAGGGCCAGTCACAAATTCCTCTTTTGAAAACTTTCCAAAAACAAAACCCATTTAGTGACTATTTTCTCTTCTTTCTGCAGTGCATGCTGTGGAAAGTAAGTTGATCTTTTATATTTTCATAAATCTTCATTGCAAGACAAGTTAGAATTTACCTTGTTACTATATCAGTAATTCTGCTTTTCTCTGCACATAATTTGAGATTTAGACTTTAACAAATAGTCAGTTTGTGATTTGACATTGCGGTGGCTTTAAAGTGTCAGTTAATTTGTCATGATTCTCATCAGCAAGTGCATCTGTGACCACTTAACATACTACGCTCTGCCTTTGTTTGAAATATGTGCACATTTCTAGGCTAATTAAATTCATTTAACTAAGATGCATTCACAAATTGTGCATCTTTAAAAACATTCATTTTGTTAATCGATTCCTTTATTTTCAGTTCATGATCTGCAGAGCTTTGGACTAGACAACGTGAGTTGCTTCTCTTCTTTTCAATAAGATTAATTTGCCATTGCTCACAAATATTAGGCCTAACAGAATTTGTTTGGTTTGACCATAGATCAACATGACGCATTTCATCAAACATCTTTCATTCGGCAAAGACTACCCTGGAATTATCAATCCTTTAGATGGTACTAATGTAGCAGCACCTCAAGGTAAGGGTATGTCATTACTTTAAAGTAAAAATCAGCATGAATGGCTGAGAACATAATTTCCAGAATTAAAGAGCCCTTTATCTTCTCCGTGGTCATTTCATTGTCAGCCCTCCACAGTCAGCAGAAAGGTCACTGCTAAAGGTCAATCCCACAGTTGTCCTAATCTAGCAACCATCAACAATTAGATCTTAGACTGAGCCCAAGATTTGAGTCCTTTTAATCAGTCTTTATTGACACCTGTGTCCTTGAATGTGGGTATGATAACAAATGGATGAATCTAGAAATGCTTCAAAGTTCTATAACTTTAGAAGTGGCATTAGTGTGATCTCAGCAGCGGATACCCATCCCAATGGACATGAAGGTTCCAAACGTGCCACCGCTTTGCATCATCATCTTCCCGACTCCGCCCATCAACTCTCGACCCCTCATGCCGACCCTGGATCAAACATAACAGTCTCGATTAAAAAAGTACCACTAAATATATAATTATAAATAATCCTAAAAATGACAGCTGTTGTTCATACCTGAGACAGGAGAACGTTCCGAACATGGCACCTGCAGCCATGCCCACGGTAAAACCCATCATGAAGCCCATCTTGACTCTGTCAAAGCAACTGGGCTGCGTCTGTCCATATGGTCCTACTGTCACCGGCATCTGGAAAGAGGATAATACTTTATCTTAGCTTGTCTTTCGTTATTTTAGTAGCATGCAAATGTAAATATTTTACATTATTTAATTATATATATATATATAT